CCATCTTCGTCTAGGTCTCCCCAGCGGTCTCTTCCCTTCAGGTTTCCCAACCAGTACCCGGTGCACACCTCTTGTCCCATCCATGCGCGCTACATGTCCCGCCCATCTCACTCTTCTCGACTTAATCACCCTGACAACACTGGGGGAGGAGTACAGATTTTTAAGCTCGTCATTGTGCAGTTTTCTCCACGCCCCATCGTCTTCCCTCTTAGGCCCAAATATCCTCCTCAACACCCGATTCTCAAACACCTGCAATCTGTGTTCCTCCCTCTGAGTGAGAGACCATGTTTCACACCCATACAAAACAACAGGCAAGATTATTGTTTTGTATACTTTAATTTTCGGGTTCTTAGAAATCAGACGGGAAGACAAAATATTTTGGACTGAGAAGTAGCAAGCATTTCCGGAATTTAGTCTCCTCCTAACTTCCTCACGAGTGTCATTTTGATTTGTTATTGTTGTTCCCAAATATTTGAACTTTGTAACCCTCTCAAAGGACTTCTTAACTACCCTAAGATTCTTTATTGTATTTACGTCGTCCCCCAATAAATTAACATCATCAGCATACGCCAATAGCTGACGTGTCCCATTCAACTTAAACCCTGCCTCGTGCCAAAGACTCCGTCCGTTTCCTGGGATTAAATGTTTTTCGTAACAACGCTGTTTTTTTTACGGTGAAAGATTATTAACCTCACGCCCAACCCCAAAGCTGGAGGACCACCCTTCGTCGGCTGTCCGCGACTGGTTATTAATTCGGGGCTAACCTCCATAACTGGAGGCTGTTCCTTCATCTGCAACCCGCGGACGCTCCGTGCCGTGCGGGTTGAACGCCTCGCAGGAAAAGCATGACAGACAGACATGTCCTGGGGCCTCGTAACAATCCACAAATAAACAAACGCTTGTTTGGACTGCACAGATTTCAATCGTAGTCACAGAATGTGTGAATCAGTTGTCATGGAATTTTCGTTTGTTCGTCGAGGCTTCGGGTTTTAATGGAGTTGATATTTTTCTCGTTTTGAATGATTAGCTTCGCAAAATGCCTGTTAACCCTACTGTGTCAATAGATGGCAGTATATTCCATTATGTCTGACCTCAGATGAAATTAGCAGATGGATTTTTATCTACCAAATACATAGTTTGTTGACGCTATTAGCTTGAGTACGGTCCTTGAGGAGCTGACAGCGTCTTACTAAGTCAAGAAATTCCGCGCCTTATATTGGCTTCAGCCATATGAACTCAATTCAAACCTTCCAATTTTAATATTATCATCTCGTCTACATTCAGATATGTCATGTGGTCGCCATTTTCCGTGAATCTCATCTTAGATTTGATCAATATAAAATGGCTACTTGATGAAGGGTACAAATTCGGTTTTCTCCACTGTGTTATTATTTTGTGCCTCATAGCTCCATGTATTCTGCTCGGCGGATTGATCTCAAATAATGTCAGTCTGTTGTTTCCTTAATGTGAGAAATCAATTTTCACACCTAAATAAAATTACAGGTTAGGCTAGGGTAGGTTAGGTTAGGTTAGGTTAGGTTAGGTTAGGTTAGGTTAGGTTAGGTTAGGTTAGGTTATGTTAGGTTAGGTGAGGTTATGTTATGTTAGGTTATGTTAGGATAGGTTAGGCTAGGTTGGGTTAGATTATGTTAGGTGAGGTGAGGTTATGTTATGTTAGGTTAGTTTGTGTTAGGCTTGGGTACGTTAGTCTAGGTTGGGTTAGATTATGTTAGGTGAGGTTATGTTAGGCTAGGATAGGTTAGGCTAGGTTGGGTTAGATTATGTTAGGTGAGGTGAGGTTATGTTAGGTTAGGCTAGGTTAGGTTAGGTTAGGTTAGGTGAGGTTAGGTGAGGTTATGTTAGGCTAGGATAGGTTAGGCTAGGTTGGGTTAGATTATGTTAGGTGAGGTGAGGTTATGTTAGGTTAGGCTAGGTTAGGTTAGGTTAGGTTAGGTGAGGTTAGGTGAGGTTATGTTAGGCTAGGATAGGTTAGGCTAGGTTGGGTTAGATTATGTTAGGTGAGGTGAGGTTATGTTAGGTTAGGCTAGGTTAGGTTAGGTTAGGTTAGGTGAGGTTAGGTGAGGTTATGTTAGGTTAGGCTAGGTTAGGTTATGTTAGGGTAGGTTAGGCTAGGGTAGGTTAGATTAGGTTTATTCGTAGCAGACGTCAAGGTCAAATTATATCAGAGTATATTTCAGTTGAATGGGTTTTAATAAGTAAGACTGCTGATGTCAGTTCGTTTGGGGGGGGGGTGCATGAATATTGCCAATAAAAAACACGTTTTATAGCTGGTTAGTGGGTTTAGAAGTAAAGGAAATAAAAAACAAAGATAGGAAAATAAGGACAAGACGTTCATGTGTCATTACCAGACTACGGGTTAAAATACGAATATGAAATAGGCAAAGTTCAAATGTTGTGAAAAGAATAAAATGTCATTCACGAATAATTTAAGAGTAGACTGATGTGTTTCAATGCAGAAAGCGATCACGCAGTGTAGGGGCCTGCGTTGATAGGATAGTCTAGGCTTGTGGCTTGGTCGAGGTAAATTAGGATGCACACTCGTTTGGGGAATATCGACGAGGAGATAAGATGATAATATTAAACTGTATCTCAGGAAGGTATCGTGTGAGGTGCCTGAAACTGGTTCAGGGACATTTCCATTATCGATATTTTATAGTATCGATTTTGAAAATTCGAGAAATGGCTGTCTTCAAGGTGTGAGACACAGAATTAGAATTATTCTATTTGTTTTTTTACGCGTAGCTGAAGCTGAGTTTTGCTTAGCTTAGAACGTGATGCAGTTTGCATGTTTCTACCCACGGCACTTCCTACCTAGAGTCGATTACTGAACACAGCGATATCATGTTTCAGTCTTTAGATTATCGAACACGAGCTGCAAGCTCTCTGCGTGGGACTGTCGTCCATATTTTTGGAACAGCCTGTACTACCTTTGACGTCATTATGTCGTGCTGTGACGTCAGCACTGACGCACGTCCGACGGCAGCATACAGGCTGTTATTAGAACGGAGTGCCTGCGGAAAACAGTTAGTTTCACGCGAAATCAATACGTTCACTAAATATATCGACTCTTTCGTTGCTGTGGTGATTGTTTAATGTCGCAATGTCGCAAGATAATGAAAGAGTAGTTCCGTTCGGGCTCACTGGTGTCGTTAGTGTAGGGCGTGATTATCAGAAGCTATTTCAATTGAGTGTCCATGCTGGCAAAGATTTTATAGTGCGATAGTTTAGTGTCGTAAGATGTTGGACAATCGATAAACCGGCGGGGGGGGGGGGGGTACAAAACCGATTTTAAGACGTCGTCGTATCAAAGGGACGCTTAAGCTTAAAATATTCTCGACGGAAACAGAAATCACGAAATAAAATATACGTTAAAGTAATCGGTTCTGAAGATATCAGCTTTACTAACCTGACACCAGATTGAGCTTTCGTTGTGGTCGATACTGGAAAGAAGGAGACATCGATCACTCGTTAGAGGTTCATAAACATTCTTCTTCACGCTGTTGACTAACCAAAAGTTTTATTGTCCTCGTACATTCCCGCAGAAAGAACAAGGATTACATCTTGTAACGTCGGTATAAATAATAAAGAGTTTGTTCCAAGACAGTGTGACTAAAAAGTTATCGAAGGTAGGCTCATACTGAAATAAACTAGATTAGGCCCACGTAGAGGATTATTAACGACGGGAGAGAACCTGTCGTGGTCTTATTTAAGGCACAATCCCGTCATAAGCGTGGAGGGCTGAGGAAAACTGTAGAATCCCTCATTCAGCTCAGCTGATCTCCATATTACGAAGCATTTGACCACCGCCGTTCGGTTATCATATCTTGAGTTAGATGAACATGGACCGCACATTGACTTACTCCATGTTTAAGACCAGTTTTAATTAATATTCTCCCATCTGTGTCGTTGTCAGATTGAGCTAAGTGGTCTTGTGGGTTTATGACGAAAATGTTATGTTAATTTTTCGTTTCTGTCCCGTGTTCTACATGGCCAACCCATCACCTGATCCTCTAGTTTATCGCTCTAATAGTATTTGATGATGAGTTAAAATTGTGAGGCACTTCCATAAATTAATGTCGTTTACGACCGTCTGTGACTGTCCTTCATAGGTACGGCTTTGCACTCAAGTTTCACAGTCATAGTAGGTAGAAAGGTAAAACCATATTCGGTATCGTTACGTTAATCTTTGACGAGAACAGAAAGATATTGTGAATCGATTGTACGAATTATCTGTATTTATTTTTTGATTCTGTGAGTAAAATATCATAAAAGACACACAAATACTTATTGCAAGACAGACGAACAGATGAACAGCGTTCTTTGTACTACGCTGAGGGTTGTAGAAGGTCATGACTTTTGAATAAACAGTTGCTATCTTTTGAGATAACTTCTTCGTCTATTTGCTGATGGAAAATACTGCAACGGCGAATTTAAATATACCACGACCACTTTATTCCACATCGTCTTCCGTTGTCATTTTCCCATTTCATGTTTCATAACTAAAACAGGCGAGACACAGCGTCGGAAAATAAAAAAACAAATGAATACGCTTTCGGCACGAACGTTTTCTCAGAATCTCTGGTTCTTTATTTTAAAACAATTTCTGTTAATGTTCTGTAGTTTACAGCATCATTATACCGAGAAACGGAATAAATACAATTCAGTCAGAAGTATGTTTTTTTTTTGCACGGTTGGTACCAATGGTGTGCAATGACACTCTTTGAATTGCACAGAATTAACGAAAATAAAGTGGAAAACAATGTTCGTGTGGTGCTCACAGTTTACCCATTCATGAGTTTCTCCAACGTAATATAGTTTTAGGGAAACAAAACTCGCTAGCGTACGTAATAAAAATGTTCGACTGTCTG